CTTCCCGCAGGAGCAGAAGACGCTGGAGAAGCTGGAGTTTGAGCGGCGCCTGGAGCTCGGGCAGCGAGAGCACGCCCAGCTGCTGCAGCAGCACAGCAGTGAGAAGGAGGAGGTCCTGCAGACGGTCAGGCAGGTCCGTGAGGCCCGCGGGGCGGCCAGGCCGGGGCTGGCGCTCCCTCCGTCCCTGTCCTGTCCGCGGCCCAGCCTCCTGCCGTGCAGGCCTGGCGGGGGTGGAGCCGGCCCAGAAACCACGGAAACTCCTCTCCCGTCCCCAGTCGGTGCCCCCAGGGCCCACGGCGTCTGCGGGGTCCCCAAAGGCTCAGGCCTCCACCCCTCCCGGCCACAGGAGCAGTCTCGGCTGGAGCAGGGCCTGAGCGAGCGCCAGCGCCACCTGGACACAGAGCGCCAGCGGCTGCAGGAGCAGCTGAAGCAGACTGAGCAGGACATCTCCAGCCGGATCCAGAAACTTCTCCAGGAGAACCAGAGGTCCGGCTCCCGGGCCGGTACTGCCCTCGGGGGAGCCTGGGCTGGGCCCGCCTCTCCCCCGGTCTCTGCCCCTGCCCAGCTTGCCCTCCTCAGAATCCACTCTGGCTGCATCCCCTCGCACCCAGCGCAGCGCCGTGGGGTCCGGTCCCCACCCCACCCCCCGGCCCCGAGGTGGACGGCCTGGCAGGTGGAGACGGCGCCCCGCTGCAGCTGAGGCCGGCCGCTCCCCCTGGAGTGAGATTGGCCCCTACAAGTCCCAGCCGAGGCTGGGACGGCAGCAAGCAGGGCTTGGTGAGCCAGAGAGACAGAGAGTGAGAGCGAGAGCGAGAGCGAGAGGAGCCGAGAGAGTCCGGGGAGGGGTCCGCAGCAGGAAGATTCCAGAAACAGGCTTTAGCCCCACCCCCGCTGCCGCCGGCGGCCCTTTCCTGTGCCCTGTGTCCCTTGACAGAGGCCTGAGGGAGCCCAGGGAAGCTGCGTGGGCCCAGCGCTCGGTTGCGTTTGCCCACTTAGCCTGTACAGGGTTGTGTGGCTTTGTGTCTGTCACTCCCGCGTCACAGGGGAGGGACCTGGGGCCTGGAACGGTTTGAGGAACTGGCCCGAGGACCCAGAGTTCCTGGTGGTGGGGTCCAGACGCCCCAGCCCAGGCCCTCAGCCCCGCAGCAGGGCAGCGCTGCCGGTGATGGGGCCACTGGTGACGGGGCTGCCGGTGACGGCGCTGCCGGTGCTGCTGGTGACGGGGCCGCCGGTGACGGGGCCACTGGTGACGGGGCCGCCGGTGACGGTGCAGCCGCTGACGGGGCCGCCGGTGACAGCGGGGCCCGGCTTTGGTTTCCTTCGCAGGCAAAAGAAAAGTTCGGAGATTCTGAAGACGCTGGAAAATGAAAGGTGAGCGCCCTCCAGGCCGCAGCTGCGGGGCGGGGCGGGGCGGGGCGGGCAGCCGAGGGCTTCCCGTGCCGGGCCAGGGCTTCCCGGAAGCCAGAAGAGAGTTTTAGAGGGTATTTCCTGAAAGGGTGCCCTGCCTGCCGGCTGCTTCAGACACGACGTGTGCTCCTGAGAGAAACTCAGAGATGTAGGCAGGCCGTGTACGATGTCCACCTATGCTATTAGTATAAAAAGTGCAAAAAAAAAAAAAAACCATATTTCTGGGGAAAAAAAACCTTTGGTTACATAAATTCCATGTGAGGGGATAACCCGGAGCCATCAGTGTCCCGGTGAAGACCATTAAAGAACCCCCTCATCGAGGGACGCACAGGGTGTGCTAGGTGGAAAGTGGTGGGCTTCTGTTCTCTTCTCAGATTCATTGATTCAGGGCTGGCATTGTGACACAGTGGGCAAAGCTGCCACAGGCCACACTGGCATCCCATTGGGCGCTGGTGTATGGCCCGGCTGCCCCACTTTGGATCCAGTTCCCAGCCAATGGCCTGGGAAAAGCAGATCATTAAAAAATATATATTGATTTATTCATTTGAAAGGCAGAGTAATAGAGAAGGAGGGAGAGAGAGAGAGAGAGAGACCTACCTTCCATCCACTGATTCACTCCCCAAATGGTGTCGATGGCCAGGGCTGCGTCAGGCCGAAGCCAGGAGCCTGGAACTCCGTCTGCGTCTAGCATATGCATGGCAGGGGCCCAGGCACTTGGGAAATCACCTGATGCCCTCTTGGGCTCATTAGCAGGGAGCTGGATCAGAAGCAGAGCAGAGGCCAGGGCTGTGGTGTAGCAGGTAAAGATGCCGCCTGCAGTGCTGGCATCCCATATGGGCGCCGGTTCAAGTCCCGGCTGCTCCACTTCTGATCCAGCTCTCTGCTGTGGCCTGGGAGAGCAGTAGAAGATGGGCCCAAGTCCTTGGGCCCCTGCACCCGCATGGAAGACCCAGAGGAGGCTCTGGGCTCCTGGCTTCGGATCAGCCCAGCTCCAGATGTTGCGACTATCTGGGGAGTGAACCAGCGGATAGAAGACCTCTCTCTCTCTCTCTCTGCCTCTGCCTCTGCCTCTCTGTAACTGCCTTTCAAATAAATAATAATAAATCATTAAAGAAAAAGAAAAAGGGCTTCTGTCGTGAGTGGCGCACGTAGGGCGGCTCTGTTCGCTCTTCGTGGGGAATCCACGTCAACAGATTTTGGAAGCCTCGTTTTTTGATATTGGGGCAGCTGCTGATCGCTGGTCCTGGCGCCCGAAAAAAAAAAAAAAAAAAAACAGCCAGGGCTGGCACCGGCACTCGGGAATAGGATGCCGGCTTTGCAAGTGGCAGCTTAGGCTGCTGCCCCACAGCCCAGCCTAGAGGTTGCATCTGAAGCAGAACACGCCGTCCGTGTTTCCTCAGACAGAGTGCTCACGCGTGTGTGGAAAGCACAGGGACCCACCCCCAGGGCAACCCCGAACGCTCCGGAGAGGTGGGAGTTACGTAGGCGGCCATCTTGTTTCCCTGGGTTTCCTGTTTTCCAGTTGGCCGCATTAAGGCGTACCACTTGTGCCTTAATGAAGGTAGCAAAGGGTGAGGGCAGGCGGGCGTTTGACCAACGTCAGAGCACCTGGGCTCAGTGCCCAGCTCTGGGGCCCGACTCCAGCTCCCTGTGATGCAGACCCGGCGGGGGGCGGGGGGGCAGCCGTGGTGGCCCAAGTAGCTGGGTTCCACTGGGGACCTGGGTTGGGTTCTTGGCTCCCAGCTTTGGCCCAGCCCGGCCCTGGGAGTTACAGGCATTTGGGGAATGAACCAGCCGATGGAAGCTCTCTCTCTCTCTGCCTTTCAAGTAAATAAAAAATTTTAGGGAAAGAATATAAAAAGAAAAGGTGACAAGTAGAAGGATCAACGCACCTGGCTCGCTTCCCTGAGAGACCAAGTACGCAGCTCCTGCTGCCCTGGGGTCCTGAGGTCGCACGTCGGGCAGTGAAGCTGGTCCCACAGCGCCTGCCAGCTCCGCCCCCCTCCACCAGCAGGTGCTGGTTAGCCCCCGCCAACCTGGGGGGGGAGCAGAGTTTCCTCTCGGGGCAGCAGCGCCATGGCGCATCCTCCCGTGTGCTCCTTGGTCGCCTGTATTTAGGCAATGGCTATTTGCATCCTTTGCCCATTTTTCTAAGGGAGTATTTATCTTTGTGTTATGATTTTTTTTTTGAGAGGCAGAGACAGAGGGAGCTCCCACCCACTGGTTCGCTCCCCCAGTGCCCGCAACAGCCCCTGCTGGGGCAGAAACCGAGAGCCAAGTCTCCCGTGTGGCTAGCAGGGACCTGACTACTTGAGCCATCAGCTGCTGCCTCCCGTGCTGGAGTCAGGAGCTGGAAGCAAGGGGACTGTTCATCTTTTTATGCAAGACAGTCTGCCTACAGGGTCGGAGGGTACCGGCCCCAGTGGGTGTGGGCGATGCCGCATCTGAGTTAACACATCAGCAGGGGCTTCCTGGAGGCGGTGTTTGTATCATGGGTCCCCTGTAGAAGCACCACACACACCTGCTGAACGCATGGTGGGTTTTTTCTAGAATAAGAATGGAACGGCTGATGTCCATCACCCAGGAGGAAAGCGAGAACTTGCGGCGCCGGGAGATCGCCTGTGAGTGGCGGGTGGGGAAGAGCGGGCTCCGGGGGACAGCGGACGGCAGCAACCGGGAGCGGCCGCGGGCTCAGGCGTCTGCTCACGTCCTGGCTTTCGGTCCTTTATCTTGTCCAGTCATTGACTTGAGGGACTGGCTGTACGTATTTAGAGGCTCGGGGGACACCGGGACACGTGTGTGCCCCGAGATGTTCAGCCCAGGGTTCTTTGTGGTAGGACCCCCCCTCAACATTTTTTAATTGTTAAAAAAGTGCATAAGTAGGCATAAACTTGGAAGAATTTTTATAAAAATGTGATCATACTCCTGAGAGAGAAGCTTATAGAAGATTCTGTGTGTGTGCTCTTTGGTGTTTTTTATTTTTTTCTTCAGATTTATTTATGTATTTATTTGAAAAGCAGAGCTACAGAGAGGAAGAGGCAGAGGGAGAGAGAGAGAGAGAGAGAGAGAGGAGGGGAGAGAGATCTTCCATCCGCTGACCCACTCCCCAAATGGCTGTTGTCAATGGCCAGAGCAGGGCCAGGCCAGGAGCCAGGGGCTTCCTCCAGGTCTCCCACGTGGGTCAGGGACCAGGGACTTGGGCCATCTGCTGCTGCTTTCTCGGGTGCACTAGCAGGGGGCTGGAAGTGACATAGAGCAGCCGAAATTCGAACCAGCGCCCATGTGGGATGCCGGCACGGCAGGCGGCGGCTTTACCCACTGCACCACAGCACCGGCCCACTGTTCAGAGTCTTAGTTAGTCAGCTTTTCAGGTTTAGGTTACTTTTTGTTTTTGTTTTGTTTTGTTTTAAAGATTTGTTTGAAAGACAGAGTTACACAGAGAGAGGTCCTCCATCTGCTGGTTTATCCCCCAAAAGGCCACAATGGCCAGGGCTGGGCCAGGCTGAAGCCAGGAGCCTGGAGCTCCTTCCAGGTCCCCCATGTGGGTTCAGGGGCCCAAGCACTTGGGCCATCAGCAGGGAGCTGGATCAGAAGTGGAGCAGCCAGGACTTAACCAGCGCCCATATGGGATGCCAGCGACGCACATGGCGGCTTAACTCACTATGCCACAACGCCAGCCCCTGAGTACTTTTATAGTTAAAAGAAGAAAAGACTTGCTAAGGTGACTCCCAGGTAGGCAGGCGGGCAAAGCCTCCAGGCGCGTCCTCAGCGGCGGTGGGAGCCCTGCGACCCCCGCTGCCCGGGCGCGGCCGCCCCTCTCAGCCCCCTGCCCGTGTCTCTGCAGCCGCCATGCAGCACATGCTGACCGAGAGCTGTAGGAATCGGCTCATCCAGATGGCCTACGAGTCCCAGAGGCAGAACCTGGTGCGGCAGGCCTGTTCCAGGTAAGGTAAGCAGGAGGAGCCCCGGGTGCCGGAGCCGGGGGAGCCGAGCCGTGCTGCCGGGGCGGCGGCGACGGCCCCCGGTTCTCTCCGCCCCGTGACCCCGAGTCAGACGACGATGAAGTGACAGCAGGCACCCCGTGTCTCGCCGGGCACGAGGCTAAGGACTTGCTGCGCTGACTCGTTAACTCTAGGAAGGCCGTCTTGTTGTTAGCTCAGCTTTTAGGAAGACTGTCCCAGAGAGAGGGGGAGGGGCGGGGAGACAGATCTTCCATCCGCTGGTTCAGTCCCCAAATACCCGTGACAGCCAGGGCAAGGCCAAGCCAGAGCAGGAGCCAAGAACTCCCTGGGGGTCTCCCGCGTGGGTGCAGGGGCCCAAGGACTGGGGCCGTGCTCTGCTGTCTCCCAGCTGTGTTGGCAGGAAGCTGTGTTGGAAGCAGAGCAGCTGGGACCTGCACCAGCGCTCCAGTGCTGGGTGTGGGCTGACTCACGGCACCCCTACGCCCAGTCCTGTTAGCCCGCAGAACCCAGGTTCTGGGAGACCACATGACACACGCAGGGGGGCACAGCTGGCAGGCAGCAGAGCCCGGAAAGGAGCCACATGGTGGGAGGGGTGTGCACTTGACCCTGGTGCCCCAGCCAGTCACCGGGGATCTGCAAGGCTGGGCGTGGGGTGTGTGGAGCTGCTTTCCTGCTGGGGCTGCGTGGGGCTCACCACGCTCGGGCCCAGCCCTGGCTGCTCCTGTGTCCCCCCTCCCGTGTCAGGCCCGGCACAGCCGCCGCCCTCCTGGCCCCATCCCTGCCGGTGTGAGGACTTGCTCCCTCATTTCCTGGTGTATCGCGCATGCTCAGGAGAGCGGGCACTGGCATCAGGCAGGCCCGGATTCAGGTCCCCACGTGCACCTGCTAACTGATGCCTTGGGCCAGGTGCCTTCCTCCCAGGGGACGGAGGGAACCCCAGCATCTCCCAGAGTTGCAGAAGGGTTTGATGAGCCTGCTGCTTCAGGGATGGTAAATCACAGCTATCACAGGAAGTAAGCAAGTTCAAAGCCAAGTCCGTACCCAGGCGTGGACGGACGGAAGGTTGCAGGTTTGGGGATCAAAGTCATGGGCCTTGCCCTGGGGCGAGAGTCCCGCCAGGACCTCTCTCACAGCAGGGCGCTCCCCTGGGAGGTTGGCTGGGCGGCGCCAGGCTGCAGTCTCAGGGGACGTTGTGCAGGGGACTCCAGTGGACTCCAGGGACTCCAGCTCCCGGCTCTGTCACCTGCCTCCGGGGCTGTGGGTTCAGACAAACTCCCTTCTGCACCCAGCCCTGGGCCAGCCCCCAGCAGCCGCTCCAGAGGTCATTGACTGGGTGACCGGGTGACCTTACCCTCCTCCAAGGTGCCTGACGTATGGCAGGCGCCCCGGCAGTGCCCGGAGTGAGGCCTGCGCCGTGTTTCTGGCAGCATGGCCGAGATGGACGAGCGGTTCCAGCAGGTCCTGTCGTGGCAGCAGATGGATCAGAACAAGGCCATCAGCCAGATCCTGCAGGAGGTGAGCCTGGCCCCGGGCAGGAGGGTGCTGCCCAGAGCGCTGCTTAGGAGCCCGGGGGGACGCACAGAGCTCATGGGAGCCCTGTCCTGGACAGCAGGTGCGCCAAAGGCCCCGGAGACCGCCGAGCAACGCAACCCCCAGCCTCCCCAGGGAGACCCTCTAAACCCCATCTGGAGAAGCCCCTGCTCTGTAGGGGGCTCCGTGGAGGGACTCGGGCTATAGGGGGTTCCGTGGAGGGACTCGGGCTGTAGGGGGCTCCGTGGAGGGACTCGGGCTGTAGGGGGCTCCGTGGAGGGGACTCGGGCTGTAGGGGGCTCCGTGGAGGGGACTCGGGCTGTAGGGGGCTCCGTGGAGGGACTCGGGCTGTAGTGGGCTCCGTGGAGGGACTCGGGCTGTAGGGGCTCCGTGGGGGGACTCGGGCTGTAGGGGGCTCCGTGGTGGGGACTCGGGCTGTAGTGGGCTCCGTGGAGGGACTCGGGCTGTAGTGGGCTCCGTGGAGGGACTCGGGCTGTAGGGGCTCCGTGGGGGGCTCGGGCTGTAGGGGGCTCCGTGGTGGGACTCGGGCTGTAGGG